CATAATCCTTCGTGTCAAGGACATGCCAGTCTAGTGCAGATATGGGTGAATTACAGCGCCTATGCTGTACTCAGTCCACTGCCTCTTTTTATAAATAAAGTTTTAGTGTAACAGTCACACATTCATTTTCTTATTATTGATGAATGCTTTCCAGCTACAACAGCAGAGCTGAATAGTTGCAAAAGAAGCCATATAACCTTCAAAAGAATATATATACATTACAGTTTTTCTAAACTATTTGAAATAAGTTGCAGACATCATGCCTTTTAACCCCTAAATGCTTCAGTATATATTTCCTAACAAGGAAACTCCCTCACATAACCATAATAAAATGATCCAAATCAGAAAATTTAACCTTGAATAATACCATTTAAATTGAAATTTTACCAGTTCTTGTGTTCTTATTTCATTTATAGCAAAAAAAAAAAAAAAATCTGATATAGAATCCTGGGTTACACTTTACATTTAGTGTTTCTGTTTCTTTTGTCTCTCCTTTAATCTAAAATAATTAATTAGTCAGGCACCCAGGTGGCTCAGTAGGTTAAACATCCAACTTCAACTCAGATCATGATCTTACAGCTTGTGGGTCTGAGCGCTTCATTGGTCTTTGTGCTGACAGCTCAGAGCCTGGAGCCTGCTATGGATTCTATGTCTCCATCTCTCTCTGACACTCCCCTGCTTGCTTGCTCTCTCTGTCTCTGTCTCTGTCACTGTCTCTCTCTCTCTCTTTCAAAAATAAATAAATATTTTAAAAATATTTTAAAATATGTCATTAGTCTTTCATGATGTTGGTATTTTTTGAAGAGTACAGACCAGTTTTATGTCCTCACTTTAGGTTCATCTAATGATTAGATTCAAGCTATGCATTTTTGGCAGGAATACTATGAATGTGATACTGTTCTTATCAGTATTTCACATCACAGGGCTCATGATGTTGATTTTTCTCACTATTGGTGATGTTAACTTTTTTAATGTTTATTTGTTTTTGAGAGATAGAGCACAAACTGGAAAGGGGCAGAGAGAGACAGAGGGAGACACAGAATCTGAAGCAGGCTCCAGGCTCTGAGCTGTCAGCACAGCTCAAACCTAAGAACTGTGAGATCATGACCTGAGCCGAGGTCAGACACTTAACTGACTGAGCCACTCAGGTGCCCTGGTAATATTAATTGTGATTGCTCAGTTAAGGTGATGTTTGCCAAGTGTCTTCATTAGAAAAATTAGTTTTTGAGGGGGAATAGGCATGGAGGAGGACACTTGTGGGGATGAGCACTGGGTGTTATATGGAAACCAACTTGACAGTAAACTATTTAAAAAATGTTTTTAATAAAAAATTAAAAAATAAAAATTAGTTTTCTTTTTGTAATTAATTAGAATTTGTGATTAGATACTCTGAGACCATGTAGATATCCTATTGTTTATCAATGGGATAGTGTTAGTATCCATTGGTGATTCATACCTGAATCAGTTGTCACTTAATAATAGATTTTTTACTTTCCATTGGAGAGAAATAAGTCAAAAAGGCAATGGGCAGATTCCTTAAACTCAGTATCATCTGCCTCTGACAATTGAACCAGAAACTTCAGGTACTTTTTAGATCAAAAATGAGAATTAAGTTGGAGACTTTAAAGGAACCAAACATTTCAAATGTGTTAGAACCTACTGCTAGTATAGCTATCACAGCCATTAATGAGAGGAAGCCCCCATACTAGTTTAGAATAATTCATTAAATTGTTATGCTCTACCTGAAAGGAAAACTTACACATATATCCCTGGCTTGTGGATTTCCTCAGGTAAATCAAAGAAAACAGAAATGTTAGGACCAAACATTTAACTTAAGATGCATTTTGCCTTAAACTTTATCAAAAACAAAGTGACCCAGTTATGGGGCCAGCATGAATTTAACCAGATAGAGAAGGGGCTTACCGATGGTTTGTGCTCAAAAACAAAAGGAGGGTGTTGTAGGTGACCGAAAATCTTTCCTTCTACCCATCTTGGTTTTTCTAGCTTGGGTCCTGCAAATTAGACTAACCAGATTAGACTAAGACAGATTAACAAGAGAAAAACAAACATAAGGTTATTAACATATGCATTGTGCATATACACAGGGGAGTACTCAGTGATGAGTAAAACCCAAATGATTGGTTGGAACATGAGTTTAAATACCAACCAAGAAAAAGAGGTTTGGGGAATTTGAGAAGGGGAGGCAAGTTATGTGAAACTAAGAAAAGTATGGTAAACAGGGAATGTTGGGTGAGATTTGTTTAAATTGGTGCCTTCTCAATTGGCCAATTGTTAAAGGCCAATTGTCCTCATCTACTGGTAGGAGAGACTTGAGGACATCTGTAGAAATAAAAATTTCCTTTATATAGCATGGTATGTTAACCAACTGGAATTAAAATAAAAACTTAAAAAAAAAGAAAGAGAAAGTTTCCTTTATAAATGTAATTTTCTTTACAACAAGAAAACTTGTGTCCTATTTTCAGGGCTTTTCCTAAGTCTGCTAGTTTTCAATGGCCTTTAGTTCAAAATAATCCATATACCAAAGAGGTATATTTTGTGGTGGCGTATATTCTCCTCAATATCTGTAAAGGACCAGGAATTCTACTGGTTCTTGCAGTAGTAGGAACCAGAATCGATCTCAAACTTCCAGAACCTAATTTTGCAAATAGAGTTGGATATTCTCTACTCTTTCCCTCCACGAGATCAGTAGCAAAGAGCACGCCTACGGGGCTTCTTTAGGTCATACCCATTATTAGGCAAAGCATGATGCTGGAAAACTACAAAGGATTCACACAAATGAGAAGACCTTGAGAAATTTTAGGGGTAAATATTATTTAAAATTATTTTCAATTTATTTTTATTGTAAAATACATATGATGTGGAATTTACCATCTTAATCATTTTTAAGTATACAGTTCAGTGGTATTAGATATATTCATAATGTTTGTTGTGCAACCATCACCACTATCTATCTCTATAACTCTTTATTTTGTAAATCTGAAACTCTTTACTCATTAAAAAAAAAACAAACAACTCTTCAATTTGCCCCTTCTCCTAGCCCCTTACCCATTAAAAAGAAAAGGAAAAAAAAAAAAAACAACTCTTCATTCGCCCCTTCTCCTAGGCCCTGGATATCACCATTCTACTTTCTGTAGAATGGCTTTGACTACTCTAAGTATCTCATGTAAGTAAAATCCTGTAGTACTGTCTTTTGTGACTGGCCTGTTTTATTTAGTATAATCTCCTCAAGGTCGATCTATGCTGTAGCATGTGTCAGAATCTCTTCACTTTTTAAGGCTGAATAATATTTTACTGTATATGTATAAAACATTTTGCTTATCCATCCATCACTTAATCGACATGTGGATTGCTTTCACATTTTAGCTCTTGTGAATAATGCTGTGTTATACTTGGGTATACAAATATATGAGATTCTGCTTCCAATTCTTTTGGATATATACCTAGAAGTAGAATTGCTGGATCATACAGTAATTCTATGTTTAACTTTTTGAGAAACCATCATACCATTTCCACAGAAGTTTTCCCATTTTAGATTTCCACCATTAATATACCAGTGTTTCAATTTCTTCAAATCTTAACAGCCATCATAATGGATATGAGATGGAATTTCAGTGTAGTTTTGATTTGCATTTCCCTAATGATTGATTATATTGAGCATTTTTTCATATGCTTATTGTCCATGTGTAATCTTTCTTGGAGAGATGTCTATTCAAATTATTCAGCCATTTTATGTGTTGTTTGGTTTGCTATTTACTGAGTTTCAAGAGTTCTCAGTGTGGTCTAGATATTAATCCTTTATCAGATACATGATTTCTAAATATTTTCTCCCATTCTGTGGGTTGCCATTTTACTCTATTAATATTGTCTTTTGATGCAGGTTTTTTTTTTAATTTTACAAAGCTGTTTGTCTATTTTTTTCTTTTTTTTTTTTATTTTGGTGTCACATCCAAGAAATCATTGATAAAGCCAATACTGTGAAGTTTTTGCCTTGTTTTCTTCTAAAAGTTTTTTAATTTTCAGTTTTACATTTAGATCTTTGATCCATTTTCAATTAAATTTTGTATATGGTGTTAGATAAAGGTCCAACTTCATTCTTTTGCATATGGATATCCAGTTTTATCAGCACCATTTGCTGGAAAGATTGTCCTTCCATTGAATAGCCTTGGCACCTTTGTCAAGAATCACTGAAACATATATGAGAAGATTTATTTCTGGGCTATTGATTCTATTTCATTGATTATGTCTGTCTATATGTTAGTACCATGCTGCTTGAATTACTGTTACTTTATAATAAGTTTTGAAGTGAAGAAATGTCAGTCCTGTAGCTTCATTCTCCCTTTTCAAGATTGTTTTAGCTACTTGGGATCCACTGAGATTCCATATGAATTTTTAGATGGGTTTTACTATTTCTGCAAAAAACATTGCTAGCGATTGCATTGAATCTGTAAATTTCTTTGGGTGGTATTTACATCTTAACAAAATAAGTTCTCTAATCCAATAACACGGGATGTGTTTTCATTTATTTATGTCTCCTTAATCTCTTTCAGCAATGCTTTATAGTTGTCATTGTACAAATCCTTTGTATTCTTGGTTAAGTTAATTCCTAAGTGTTTTATTCTTTTTGGTGTCATTATAAATGAAATTGCTTTCATAATTTCCTTTTCATATTGTTCATTGTTAATGTATAGTAATGCATCTTATTTTTATGTGTTGACATTGTATCCTGCTACTTTGTTGAATTCATTAGTTCTAACAGTTTTTTTGTAGAATCTTTAGAGTTTTCCACATATAAGATCATATCATCTGCAAACAGAGATAATTTTACTTTTTCCTTTTCAATTTGGATGCCTTTTATTACTTTTTCTTGCCTAATTTCTCTGGTTGAAACTTTTGATTTATTTACTCAGTTTTAAAGAAGTTTTGTAGCTTCATAAATTCTCCATTGCTTATTATAAGACTTAAGTTGTTTTGTTTTTCAGACCTTGTAGTTAATCAAGCAATCTGAAGAGCTGGAGGCAGTGCTAGAGAGTGAAAAAGGTAAAGTATTTCAGATATCATTTATAGCCATCAATCAAAGGACACCCTTACATGTGCTCAGGAGAGCTCAAATAAGGATGAGTTTTTCTGCATTGATCTTTTTGACTACACCCATAAAGTCAACTCATAATCCAGTATAAACGAGTATTATATTTAAAAGTAATTTGTAGAATGAGAATTAATGAGAATTAATAGTCACAGAATTTATAATAGTCACAGAGTATATAATCATTAGAAGAATCATGTATGGTTTTTATTTACAGAAGAGAAAACTAAAGTTCAAAAAGACTGATGATGGGGCGCCTGGGTGGCTTAGTCGGTTAAGCGTCCGACTTTTGCTTGGGTCATGATCTCGCGGTTCGTGGGTTCAAGCCTCGCGTCGGGCTCTGTGCTGACTGCCAGCTCAGAGCCTAGAGCCTGTCTCAGAGTCTGTCATTTGCTCTCTCTCTGACCCTCCCCTGCTCACGCTGTCTCTCTCTCCTAGAAATAAATAAAACATTTAAAAAAAAAAAAAAGACTGATGATAAATGTGTGACTTATGAGTTACAGGGCTAAGATAAAAGCCCAGCTCTGAATCTAGAATCCTTTCACAGTGCTACAGTGCTTATGTATTACTCTTATACTAGCAAGTATTTGTTTGAGAACAACAGAAGAAAAGGAAATGACTGAGGTCAAAATAATTTATAAAGTGATTTTAAAATGCTTTTCACACATTTTCAAATTTGAGTTTTGGGCTTAAGAATGTTTGGTTCATGAAAAGAAATTGTTCCATACACCACTGCAATAGTACTAATAGCCATCAAATACTAATAGTTATGTCTAGTTATTATTACTGTAGAAAACCCAGTAGCTTCTCTACAGTAAAGGCATTTAACAGAGAAGAAATTCATTTCAGCGAATTCCCAAACACTATACAGGCATCAAACTCAGAGTAACTACACAGGTATAAAAACTAAAGAATACAAAAATTAAAATAAGACATTTGCTATGGTAATGAGATTGTGTATGATTTTACTTTCTTTTAACAAATAAAAATCACTCCCATGTGCCACAGGCAGCCGGGCAGGCAGGCCAGGGTGGCCTTGTGGCCCTGGAGGAGGGCCCTTCTCCCTCAGCATTGGGGAGCCTTCACTGGCCCAGCTATCAGCTCACCCCCGAGCCCAACACAGAGCACAAGGATGCGGCATCAAGCCGAGTCTCAGGATTCTGACCTGCAACAAAATCCTGCCATGATTGGACAGAACCCCCAGGTAAACATTTCAAACCTTCAACCTATTCACTTCTATGTCCTCAAAAATGAATCACTGTTGGAATAAAAGCTAAGAGAATTAAGACAAGAAACACAAGAATGGAACCAAGAGTTCTGGGCAAACTAGTACTTGACATTTTGTAAGGAAAAAAAGAATTTATTTGCTCAAGACTGAAAGTTAAAGGCCTGGAACTGAGAGCCAGATCAGGTCAAAAAGCAGTATTTGACCAGACATAAATGGCTGGCTTTAAAAGGAATTTTTAAGTAAAACTTTTCAGAAGCACATGTATTATAACAGTGGGGCAGCTGTCACTGTGTGCCTCTGCCAGATACAGGAGGAGGTGCTGAGCTGTACAGCACCTGTGAGGTATTCTCACCAGAAAAATCAGTGAAATCTAGTGTGATCTCCAAACTCAATACCAGTTCAAAACAAAAAGAGACTAGTAGAAGCATGATTTTGCCATCACCTTCTTCATGGGAAAAGTGGCCCTGGAGAGGGTTTGGAACAAGCTTACACCAAAAGAAAAGAAGACCAGCACTTAGGAGCCCACCCTAGACCACCCACCAGTGTCTGATTTTGCAGGAGAAGCAAGTACTTCTAGGGAGTTCATTTTACAAGGGCTCTAGAAACCTGTAAGAGAACCAAGTCCCATACCTTCTTTATGGGGTCCCCTTGGCTTATGTCAGCACAGGGTGGACTGGGAGAAGAGGAGTCTTGGTGAGCAGTGACTCTGTCCCTACTGTGGATTCCAAGCTGGCCCTGGGTCATGGACATGATATCAAATAAAACCCAAGCACTGTGTAAAAATAAATAAGTAAATAAATAAAAGTCATCTGTTGCTCTTATCATGCTTATTTCATAATAAATAAACATCAGAGAGAAAAATACTTCTATGGAATTTGCTTGTGAATTGCTCTTCCAGCCTCATTAAAAAAATTATTTTCCTAAGCCTTGAAACTGATTGGATTCTGAATAAACTCTCTCCACTTCTTAGAATTAGTTTTTTGGACTCTTTTTACAATGCAAATCTTATGGTCTATGCTGAGTCAGTAAATTCTGTTTCCCAGGCAACTTTGTGTAAATCAAAGCTGAAGGTCAGACCAAAATTAATGCATTACATTAAAGTAAAATAGGATTGCTCTGCATTTCAATTGGTGCTGTTTGGTTTTGTATGTTTAAATGTCCCTATGACCACTGTTTAATTCTAGGTAGTTTGAATCTCTTGTACTTTTTAGGTATAAAACGTTTTATGAAACAAAATTTAAATTTTAAAAATTAAACAGTAGTTAAACACAAGAATTAATCCAGTGATAAAGTTTCATCTTCATTAGTAATGAAAGACACTGAAATCCAATCAACAATGAAATAATTTTGCTCACCTATCAAGTAAGTAGATTTAGAAAATACTCAGTACCAGTAACAGTACAGAGTAATGTTTCGTATTTTGGCTCCACATCTCTACAGCCTCCTAATTCAGGTCCTCATTATCTCCTGCTGGAACAATCTCAATAATTCCCTTTTAACTTGTCTGCCTGATCCCAGTCTTGTATTTCTTAAGTCCAGGCTCCACACTGCAGCTTGAGAAATCTATTTAAAATATAATTCTAACCATATCATTGTGTGTGTATCTCAGCCTCTCAGTTTCCAAGGTAGAATAGTTAATGACGTACAGTATCTGTAAAGAAATTGCTAAATGTGTGGTTGCTGTTCAGTTTTGCCATGGTTAGTACAGACAATAAAAACTTACTAGGTCAAAGCTTTGTTCCTCTGATAGCCACAGGAAGTCAAATCATAATTGTAAGCCTGGAATTAGAATAGGGACCTGAGTTGCACAATTCAAATGGTTAAAGGAAACAAGTTTAAAAAGCTTAGAGCTTTTACCTCCCTAGACATTTTCATCAGTAGGAGATTCTCTGCCTGGTCAATGCTTCATATGGATATGTGCAACTTTTTGTTTTGGAGTTTCATATCCTGTACTCCAGAAAGAACTTACCTTTCTACTTATGTAGGGGAGTAAAAACTTTTTCTATACCCTCTTAGGGTCTCCAACTGGGTCTGACATAAACTGACAGAAGACAGATTAACAGAAGAAAAACATACAAAATTTCATGCATATTTTCATATGTACATGGTACTTAGTCTTTATTGGAAAATGAAAATCCAAAAAGCTGTTAGGTGCAGGTGCTTACATACCAGGTTGAACAAAGTACAATAAAACTTTGGTTTGTGAGCATAATTCGTTCCAGAAACATGATTGTAATCCAAAGTACTTATATCAGTTTCAAGAGCCATTGGCTCAGCTGTGATCATGTGATGCTCGACATCACGTACTACTCATAGAGCAGGACATCGCTCATTTTCAAGTTAAAATTTATTAGAAGTGTTTGCTTCTCTTATGGAACACTTGCAGAACAAGTTACTTGCAATCCAAGGTTTTATTGTATAGTAATTGTGGAAAACTATCTAAAATATATGGGGAAACTGAAGGAAGATGAGGGTTATTTCAACAAGATTTGTTTGAACAGATTCTTCTCAGCCTTGACCCCCTTCTCTGGAGATAAGAATGTTCTTTTCATCCAGGTGCAAGAAAAGTCTTCTTTTCATGTAAGTTTTCTCTCTTGTTTTCAGGGGAAAAAGGGGAGGTCATAGTGCTTTTCTTGCACCTATTGTTTTTCAAGTATCTTTAGCTCAAAATAGTCAATGTGCCAAGTCAGACATATGTTGGGAAGGCATGTTCTGAGTACTTTCATTTACATATTCTCTCTAAATAAAGTATAATATCACTGCTTAGGGTTTTATTTATTAAAGCTTAATCACTTTCCAGACTTCCTTCTCAAGATTATTTTGCTTAGAGTTGGAGGTATTCCCAAATTCTTTAGTCTTAGAGTTCTATACAGTCTCCCGGTTTATTACTATGAAGTCACTAATTTAAGCAAATGTTTAAGTATCTATTCTATGCCAAGTGCTTTTTGATGTTCTGGAAATAAACTGTGACCTAGACAGACACTATTCTTGTATTTTGAAAAATATCATAAAAGTAGCTTTCTTAGGGGACAATCTTACTTTTCTTATTGTTAAGTTCTTGGATGGCCTCTCACTCTTGTCACTATTCCCAAAAATAGATCATTGGGAAGTTTATTAAAACTTTAAATAATCATTTTATATCATAAATAATCACTTCCCAATTATCCATCATATATTGGCTTTTCTTAACATGTAGCACTGAGGATGATCCTAAGTTTTCTATTCCCCTTAAATTTAACAGTAGAAAACTTTAGATAACATGTGTAGAATAATCAGCATTGCCTTTAATTCATGTTAAAGAATTTGAATTACGGACATAGAGTTTAAAAGTTGTCATTAAATTATTTGGTACATTCACATACTTCTCTCATTCTTCCCTTATCTGACAGTGTTGAACTTTCACCTGAGCCCTGTGTTTTGAGCAGCAATGGCTAAGAAATCCTTGTACCCTTTTGTGTTACAGGAAATGACTATCCTCAAAGCACAAACTTAGCCTCACATATTCCAAGATGTCTTCATCTTTCCTCATAACTCCCATATTGCAAGTGACTGACTTGTTACCTGTGGCTATAAAACCCCAGACTCCCCCTTTTTCTTTGAGAGATCCTCAATAAATTTTCTAATGCAATCATTCATATGTAATCATCTCTTGAATTTTCCAGTGCAGTTTGTCTTTTACACACCAAATCATAATGCTCAGTGCTGCCTTACACAAAGCTCATTGGGTTTTTATGAGAATTAAATGAGTTAATATTTGTATAGCATTTTAAAATTTATTTTTTTATAGTTTGTTTATTTTTGAGACCCAGAGTGCAAGCGGGGAAGGAACAGAGAGAGAGGGAGACACAGAATCTGAAACAGGCTCCAGGCTCTGAGCTAGCTGTCAGCACAAAGCCCGATGCGGGGCTCGAACCCATGAACCGTGAGATCTGACCTGAGCCAAAGTCGGACGCTTAACCAACTGAGCCACCCAAGCGCCCCTTGTATAGCATTTAAATGGTGTCGGAAATCTAGTATGTGTTCAACAATGTATTATCTGTAATGCCTATATTATCTATTACTATTAGCATTATTTGATTGTTGTTAATCCCTAATCAATGTTAGAGAAAAAATATTTTTCAAATTGTTAAAGAAAAAATTATTCATGACCCTTGCAGGCCAAGATGCTCAGACATCACCTGGGGGGATGGTGGCAGATGAGGAGCTCGATTAGATATTGAGGGTGATCAGATATGGAAGATGGGAGATTTTAGTTAAATTAACTTATCAAGGCTCTTAATAAAATTGAACATTTTATGCTGAGAGGGTCACTGAAGTCCAAAAGTCAAGCCTAGTTGAAAAAGAGTTCAAGTGAACTCAAGTAGAGTTTGATCAAGGAAAAACATCTTTGTCATCAGGAAAGGGATCTGGAAAAATCTCACCTATATATTTTATTGCTGTGCTGCAATCTGACCTAAAGTGCCCAGAAGAGGAGCTGGAAAATGTCAAGAGGGGAGGTATGGAGGAACAGTAAAGCTGCAAGAAGTGGTTTTCTCCTAGGTTCCCAATCCTACTTCTCATTCAACAGAATGAGCAATTCCCTCCCAATCTCATCACTTGAAATGTATATCCTCAGACCAAATCCTCTACCCCTCTGTTCCAGCATCACAGCTCTCATCTAGCAGAGACCTAAACTTCCAGCCTAGAATAGTCCATCCTTCCTCTACACCAATATCCTTGACATTCTAAGGTAATTTAACAGCTCCAGTTCCTTTAGTTCATATTTCTTTTTTTCCTTGACTCTGTAGACCTTCCATCTCCATTACATCAGCCAGGGAGTTACAGAAAATTTCCTTTGATCTCACAAGAAATCTGAGAATCTAAGAACCCTCAGATTCTTTAAATCAGAAATCCCTCTCTTGTAACAGAATTTCCTTTTTGCATGTCACATTTCCATTTGCATATTATAACTTGCTTTGTACCTTCATCATGACTTTCATTTACCCAGCCATTCTCTCTTTCTCAAGTTAAAAAGCACCTCCTTGCTTCTCAAGACTCTCTTCAAACTCCAGTGTGTCAGGGATATGCTTAGCTTTAGGGAAGAGAAAATACAACTAAAAGTGGCTACAATCAGAATTCTCTGAGAACAGCAAATGTTTAAAAGTAAGCCGAGAGCTATCATTTAATCTTTGGAGTGGGCACTTAAGATGTGAAAGATTGTCTTCCGTTCTAAGCAGCTTTATCTACCTTCATGTAGCAGCATAGGAATATTTTCATTTCTTTGTATGCCAAGACATGGGAATGGATGGGAAGCACTGGCTTAAAGGAATAGAGGCTTACTGTCTCACCGGACACAAGTGCTGGGAGTCAGTTCCAGACTGGTGCCATGGTTCCACAATGCCACTGGACACCCAGACTCTTTCTACTTTCTTGGTCTACCTTCCTTATCCTGCTATCATTTGTCCTCTTACAGTCGCCTCACAGTGCCACGTGGCATCAATGCCTCCAGGCCTCAAAACCACAAACCAGAACAAAAAAGGAAAGGAAAGGAAAGGAAAGGAAAGGAAAGGAAAGGAAAGGAAAGGAAAGGAAAGGAAAGGAAAGGAAAGGAAAGGAAAAAGAAAAGAAAAGAAAAGAAGAGAAAAGAAAAGAGAGAGGGGGAGTAGTGACACCAGATCACATCTTCTTATACCTCACTGGCCAGGGCCAAGTCACGTGGCCACTTTAGTGTCAATAGAGGCTAGGAATTGAATTCTTAGGTTTTACAGCTGCTGTAATAGACTCAATTTCAGAAAAAAGGGGGGGGAGGGTTGGTGGAATGGGTGTTATGTGAGCCGATCAGTCTATAACATCCGACACACCAAGTTTCTCAGGGAATTCTATTTTTAATTTTTTGAGGAACCTCTACACTCACACAGCAAGTTTCTAAGATGGCAATATTTAATATAGCCATATGTAGAAGAAGTTTAATACCCTTGACTTACAGTATCTCACCCAAACCTGAATCTTCCTCACTGTCTGCCTCTAGCCTTTTATTGAACATCAGGATGATGCTGAAGGAAGAATGAAGCCAATAGAATTATTCTAACTCTCCAGTTGAAATCTGACCCTTGTGGCAGCTCCAATTTTCCAATACAATACCAGTTGTGGTTATTGTAGGCCTTTCTTTTAAATGGCCATCCCTCTTCTTCATAAGATTGAAAATAATACAAAATCTGTCTTGTGTCATATCTCATGTCATATGTAGTTAAAAATTCCTTTGATGCTATTTAATATGAATAGCAAAAGCAGAAAGAGGAGTGGGGCCGGGTCAGGAACCCAGTCAAATGACAAAAACATCAAGACTGAAGAGAGGCTAGTGTGAAAATTTAAGTTGAAAGGAAGTGACCAAGATTGCAGCTGTTATTTGGCAACAAGGTAAAGAGACAGGGCAAGAAGTTAGGAGGTCTTGCACTACACCCAAATAGAGCTACGAGGACTGAATTATGCTCTAACCTGGTCTCTTTTGAAGGCTTCTGGCCCTGCCCCTAAGAATATGCGACAGCACTCTGAACTCTCCACATGGCAGATTAATTCAGCTAAGTACCTTCACTGTAGTTTCTCCTAAATTTCTATTTCTTTCCTTGGCATTTCACTTTATTTCAGTCCTACATTTCTAACTACTCTCAGAATAACCCTATTCAGATGTGTATAATGTGCACAAGAACATGATAGTGATATCTGAAGCAAAATGGAAAATAAAGTCACCTGCACTACTATCCATACCTGTGGGTTAAATTCCATTTGTAGGGTACAAGCTGTGAAAACCTTCTTGGATGAATTACCAGGGGCAAGAAAGGTGCAGGGCAACTAGAGCTCTGAAGGAATCTTGACACCTTGGTTTAAGTGACTAGGAGCTGAAAAAAATTGCCATTTCAGAGCTGCCAATAGTTTTTTTATTTCACAAAAACATGATAACATATTTGGGATAAACAACCCCTTTGTTCTGATTAAACCTCTTGAGATTTTTTTGTTATGTAAATTAGAGAAAAGACTACAGTTTTAAAAAAAGAAGAGGAAGGGTTTTGTTTAATTATGCAAAAGATTGTTCACTTGGTAGACAAGAGTTGAATTTCCAGATTTGGTTCCCTTGAGTGAATGTCTCTTGTGATATTAAGACTCCTTTATACCTGAAAAGGGTTGCTTTTTCTTGGGAGATGTGAGTTGAGGACATTATTGGTAGAAGATAAGGACCTAGGGGCCAGAGGTTGAAGGAACCCTTTATATAAGACACATTGTGAGCTCTGGGCAGAAACAGCCGTTTTCAGCTCCAGATGGTGAAATGTGATACAGAGTTGAGGAGGCAGCCTCCTCTGCCCAGAATCTTTCATCGACTAACACCCTGAGGAATGTCAGCTTTTAGAATCTCAGACCTGGAAACAGCATTCAGTGTTTCCTGGTCTTTCTTTGTCTCTCTCTCTCTCTGTCTCCTTCTCTATCTTTCTCTCCCCTCTCTCTCTCTGCATCCCTAATAGCTCTCCAATGGTTTCATTATCTGTTATGCAAACAGCCATTCTCCACAAGACAAGAAATAGGACCAATGGCATCTGTTTTCACAGACTTCTAACTCTAGTGTTTAAAAGCAAGGCCTTCTTCCTTCCTTGCTATCCCCATCTAGACCAATCCTGATATGCTACTGTGACTCAGATCATATGACTTACCTCACCAGGGTGAGAAGTATTCAGACTGACCTGGTTTTAGCCACATACCTAGAGACAGAAGCTTTGTCACTAGAAGAAGTTATGATGGAAGGTGGCCAGTGATCTGACTGGTGTACTTGGCAGCTAAAAACAGTAGCTACCTCTTGCATTATGCGAAAAGCTGAGTAAGATTTATTTCCCAACTCTGGGCATATATCCACTGCTTCAGAACCCCATCTGTACTGCCTTGTACTCTCAGATAAGCCCTTAAGTAAAGAGAGAACAGACACGTTGTCCAAATACTGCAATACTTGCCAGAAGAATGGAACCCAAATATTTGTGAATGAAGAAATGAATGAAAATCCTGAATGCACTATTTTTCAGACCTTTCCTACCACCCACTGTGTTCACCCTACTTCTTTTCTTCATGTAATCAGGTCAGCAGATATAGGTGAGAAGCGTGGTCTTGTCTACCCTGACTCTTAACTGGATATTAGGGGAAGAGGTTTGAGGGATATAGTCTGTCTTCAACAACATAAACTTGAACTATTTAATGCCCATAACTCTGAAGTCTGTGAAGGAATATCCAAGATTTTGGATCTTTAAATGTGAAAATCAGTCAGCATGAGTGTGATAAATTTAAACTACTATAGGAGCAAAATAGATATTAATATTTATCATTATTTATTGTATTTATTAAGAAAAATTTGTTCTCATAATTTTATTGAAAAAATCAAGAAAATTAATTTTTAAAAAGAGGGGAAACAGTTTGACACTGTAACAGCAATATAACTGTACTCATTAAAAGAATTATTTACAGCAAATTCCTAATCATCATTCAGGACAATAGCAATATGCATTCTCATTAATTATGTATCAAATTTATTGGGGCACCTGGGTGGCTCGGTGGGTTATACTTCTGGCTCTTGGTTTCAACTCAAGTCATGAAGTCTCTTTGTGACTTTGAGCCCCT